TCAATTTTAGCTTTCATTTAACCATCGAACTTACTCACTAATTTCTTTATGCATTACCTGTGGCTAGTCACAAACACTTGTAGTGAGACAATAGGGAAGACGTTTTTCTTTAGATCCTTTCGGATCGTTGTTTCCAAAATATTCCGCGTTAAACATGTTATGGATTAACTGAATGTTCACGATGTCATTAAAATATCCCCTGGTTTTTGTTAACTTCCATTTGTCATCAGAAATGATATAACGTTGTTCTAAAGTATGTTTTCTTAGTTCTTTGGCTAGTAGAATGAATATCCTCCAAATGTTCCAGTGATGTACACGAATATCATAGTGTTTGCAAATTTAATGTAAAATATTGCTGCGTTTATTTCGCAGGATGAAATTTTTGAAAATCTTAATTAAGATGGACAAGGACGGTCTCCTTTCTGACGTAATTAATATTTGTAATTAAATTTTATTAATTTGTCGTTGGTCTATGTAACAGCATGGGGATTATTATGTCATACGAGAAAGCGGTCAAGGTTGTTTTTGTTTACATTTTTATTTTATTTATCTTATTCTTTTTTATCTTTTTGTCTGTTATCAAATGTAAATGACAGGTGGATGTGATATATCGGCTTTTCTGTGTAGTTAAAAGAGATGAATTATTTATTTTTCCTAGTATTTAGGTCTCTTAATGTCTGATAAGAAATTGGGTTTTCCGCGTTTTTTCAAAAGCCTTGAAAATGAACTCCGAGCCCATTAAAAAAATTAGTGGTACTCATTTTTTTGTCAAGAGAAATCGTTGTGATTAGCAAACACGATTTTAAAATGAACGGCGTTTGAAAAGTTTCGAACGACCGCCACGTTGCTGTGACGTCACTACGCACGTTGGCGCTCAGCCGTAGCATTGCTTACAATCGATTCAGGGAAAGAAAACGTCGTCTTGACGGAAAAAAGCGTCGAATTATTGCATTTGTGCCTGGGTGTGATAGCAGAAGTCAAGAAAAGAGCGGCGACTATTGACACTTCAACCTTTGGCAGACTATCTAACTGCCTCTTTACGAACCAGTCAGAACTCAGTTTATGGCAGATTGCCATAATTAGTCGAATCGAACTCCTATCAGTGTCATGCACTAATATAACTCCCGATCGGCAACCTGCGTAGTGACGTAAGCGACGCTCGGCCAATATCGACATGTCGTCGGTTGCATGACAAAATTTGAAAGTTTTACGATATTATATGTTGTTTATTGACATGCTGCAATTAGGAGAAAAAGTTTTGTATATGAGATGTTTAATTACAGGTTATAAACTTTACAGTAAGACACAAAAAAGTTACAATATTTTTTTTCAGGAAGACCCTATTGTTTAGTAAAATTATTTAACTTCTGTTTTTTTTGTCTATTAACGTACGTTAAGGGGATAGTCTTTGTTGTAAACTGTGTATTATTGGTTGTTGTAATTTTTATTTTCGGAAGAAGGGTTTCGTCTTAAATAGGATGTCAAGAAGAAGAGCGTCAATTTTTGTCTCAATCTACCCAGAAAGAACTACGTTTCTTTGAAAATTTAAATCAGCTTTTAACCAGAGTCAACTACGTTCCGTTGAAAATTTATTTCACTTCTTGCGAGTTCCATTGAAAGCTTCGTCCAATGTGAGATTGAAGATAGAAGAAGTGGCGTTTGCGTAGCCGGAAGCCGTGTTCGCGGCTAGTTTTTGTTCTACATTTTGAAGGTGCTGCAAGGAGAGGTATTTGTCGGCGCCCCCATAAGTATGTTTTCAACGTGCACTCAGTTGAAGTTGAGTTTTTTATTGGAACGTCCTTGTCTGTCCGAAGAGAGGATGCTGCGATTACTCGGTCGTTAGTGTAAAGTGGGTTTCATTGAAAATTGTTTTTGTGTACGGATACCTTTTTATTTGGATTACAATGTAGTTAATTTTAGTCTCTCTGTAATAATTGTTTGTGTTTTTATACCATTTTCCTTTTGTGTGTTAGTTTAAATCGCACTTTTGTAATTCTCACATTAAATTTCCGTGTGTTTCATTCACAACGACATCATTTCTAATTTACCTGTGTTTTTATTGGATGCTTGCCTAAAAGGTCCTTTTAATTATTCAAATCAGTTTGGAGTGTAAAGTATTTGGTCTGACCCCCTATCTGTTAGACATTAACAGGTTAACTGAGAGCAGAGTCGAATCTCTCCTCTGTACTGGGGAGAAGTTTTGTGCCGTGTTAATAAATAAAGGTAAAAGCTAGCTAGGTCTTTGTTGTGGTGTTTTGTGTACGGTCTTTCTGGCCTACGGACTAGTGCACAGAGCAATATTTTTCAATACGATGCACATGGGCCACCGCTACATGGCCGTATTAGTGAGGGACTTAAGTCGTAAATGATGAGATCCTCCAACCTAAAATTAAAGTGTTCGAGCCTTTTTCAAACATTTGTTGGTTCGCTGGGAAACAGCTCGGTTTAGATTTCAATGTTTAACTCCAGCATACTCGTAATTACTTGAAGTTTCGATCGGCCTGTCAATAATTTCAAGCCGTTATAACCGATTTTGGTTATTTACTGATTTCCAGTTTTAAATATCCTTTGATTACTTTGTGTTTAATAGTGAAGTGAATATATCAAACTCAAGCACTACAGAAGTGCAGCAACCTCGTAATAGACAAGTATTTTACAAATTATATAAATAATTCGGTAATTCGTTGGATGGTTGATGCAGCGAAATCAATTAATTGGCGATGAAAAAAATCATCTTGACCGATGCGGTTCACTTGCATTTAATGAGTTCAGACATTCCGCATGTACCTAATCCATGAGAAACAAAAGCATCCATCTTGGTCGATCTTAGCTGGTGGTTCAATATTTCGCCGAGTTAAGTGCCTACATCGACTGGTATTACGACTTCACTGTACTGAAACGCGAGTGAAATTAAGAACAAACAACTGACTTCAAAGTTTCATAGAATGATTGGCAGGCTGGCAGATCCGTCAGCTTGACACATTAAAAGATCAAAGGTATGCCCAATCATTTCACAGTTTCAGGTGAAACTCCGTAACTCCGAGACCGATATCTAACCAACATGAAGAAGGTGCTACATGACACCCCATTTTGCGCTTGCAACTTGCAAGGTATAGTCCGTCTCAATTATGGCACTCGCAAATACAGTCGATGTGCATCAATCTGAAGTTATCTTTGACGAAAATCTATTTAATATTACTACAATTTCGTGAGTAAATGTTTGTAGTAATCGTTGCTGTTTACAATAAACAGCTAAGCTAAGCTAAACTCAGAAGATAAACCAATGTTGTACGAAACCGAATACGAAATTTTATAGTAACGTTAATTCCCTAGAAACGTCGATCATTGCATTATAACCAAGATAGAATCAGAAATAAGCGCTAATTGATATATCATCTAATAAATATTATATAATGGTGTAATTGTAGCTGCAAAGTTGGACATTTATAATGAATATATTAGATGTTCCCGTAGGCTTATAAAGAGTGCCATTACGTTCCCTAACGAAATAGGGCGTTTGCGGTTATAAATTGTTGCTGTGTGATTTATTAGGCAAGAACCGGAACAGTGTTTGAGATAACGTTTTAAAATTGAATATTTTGCCTTGTAGAAACGAATGGAATAAGATATGCATGAAATCTGTTCTCCGGTTGCAATCCCTTTAACATTCTTCCCGTAATGGTTGTCGCTAATTTATACAGATGAAGCGCGATATGAAGAGTTAACCAAATTACAAAATGAATGGAATTAAAAATCGTGGTCATTAAACTAGGCACTTCTCTCAAATATTCGTGTATTCAAGTTGTACATCACAATCTGTCTGTTAAAATATTATATTTCCTTAATTTCTACTACCTTCTTGTTGTTGCACACTGTAATAGTAATAATAACACGTATTTTATCGATCACTTTCGGTATCAAACGTGCTTGATAACTCCCAAAATAAAGCACTCTTTTACTTCAAAATTGAAAATGAATTTCTGATTATGATATTAAATATTAATTTATCAACGTAAAGCGACTCTTATCAATTATTGTCTTATCCAAACCCATTAACTTTTAACATGTGTGTATTTTATACAAAAATAATACGTAACAAATAAACTCTAATGATAAAACTTTGTTTAAGAAGAAAGAGATTTTTATCACTTAATTCTTGTATCAATTTAAATAAAAGCAATAACTTATTCGCATATTTAATAATGGTCAGAAAAATTTCAATCAGAAGTAGTATACCACGATATTAATCGTGTTTAAAATCCTGTGTCGCTATACTATACAGAGCCCCTAAGTTTCAAATGATTACTGCCCGATTGATCTTGCGTCAACTATATGTTAGCATTGTTTGGTAACACGAACATTCTCGCTAGGGATATTTGTTATCGAGGTTGATACGTGATGCGTTGCCATATAGGGAAGGCTGCTGACCTATTCGGTAGTCGCCACTACCAACACTTGGGAGGTAAAAACCACTTTCGAAGTCTTGTCGAATCCAGCTTTATTTGTATCAGCAAGGTATTCATGTTTGTTGGTCAAAAGAGAATCACCGGCGCTGGTGTTTTCTTGCACTACGTTATTATAGTCTAAGAGCTGGTTACGGGAAAAAATGACTTATCGCTACATGGCTGATTTTTATGTAAAGTATCCTGATACATAGTCACGTAGAAAAAGTCATATCTGCCAGCGAGATTCCGTGACTTAAGGTTGGGAGGGGCGGTCAAATGTGTAAAATGTTAATAGAACTGCCGATTTTCTGACTATATTTACCTCTGCCGCCTTTATTTTATATCCTAACCTCCCTAATCCGCCCTTGCATCTATCGGCGGAGATAGTGCGGGGCTCTCACCCACTAAACCCCTTCTCCCTACTCCATAAATACCAGTGTCCGCCTCTGGGCATCGCTGTGCATTCTTCCAAAGGTGACCTTTCCTCAGCAACTGTTTATCTATCTTCTGCCACCGTTTTCCCTCGCTTCTTTCTCCCTGGTTGCTACCACTTTTTCAATGTATCTGTTTATCTTCTCCAACTTCTCCGGGCTTTCTAGCATTGTCGCGACCAGGTTCGCCTCCTCTACCAACTCTCCTATTACTATCGCCAGTCTCCGGCGAGCCGCCTCCCACCTCGGACACGAAAACTGCGTGGCCTTCTCTATCTCTCTGCCCGCAGTCTCTACAGTCCTCTGTTTCCCTTTTCTTGATTTTGAATAAGTATACTCCGACTTCTCCGTGCCCAATTAGGAGCTTGGTCACCCAATAGTTTATTTCTCCGTGGTTTCTTTTGATCCATGGTTTTACATCTTTTATAAAGGTACGGGTCCATGAGGTTCGAGTTTCCCACTCGCCTTGCGAAATATGAATTGTTTCGTCTCTGGTTCTCCCCACGGCCCTTTCTTCTACCAACAGTCTCAGCGGCGGGGTGCTCGCAACTACAAACAGGTCTTTTGTGGGCGCGGTACGGTAAGCAGCCGCGATCCCTAAAGCCATTTTCCGTTGTAGCTTGTCCAAGCCTTCGCGCACTTTGCGTGTCTTTATCGCACTTGCCCCCCACACTTCACTCCCGTATAGCACTACATTGTTCACTGCCGCCGCGAGTACCCTTCTTCTGCCCTCACTTGGGCCACCACAGTTCCAAAAAGGCTTCTTATTTGTGTTGCCGTGCGGGTGGATTTTTCGATGGTTTTTTCGGCATGAGCTATATAGTTGAGGCTTCTATCCAGCCTCATCCCGAGGATATCTATGTGACGTGCTAGGGGTACCTCCGTCCCATCAACCTCAATCGTGGTTGGGGGAAGCCTTCTTCTTCCTGCCATAAGCACCGCCTGTGTTTTGGCCCCCACCAGTTCCAGGCCATGATCCTCCATCCATTTTTTAATATCTCTTATAGTCCGGCTCGTCGTTTCCGCCGCTACTTCGAGGCTCCTGTTAGTCACCACCACGGTTAAGTCGTCGGCGTAAGCTACCAATTCCACCCCTCTGGGGACCTACATCTCTAGCACCACGTCGTAAGCCACATTCCACAATAGGGGCCCCAACACTGAGCCCTGCGGCACTCCTCCATTGATTTGGAACGTATACGTCGCTCCCGATGGTAATCTCGCCTCTGCCGTTCTTGCGGTGAGGTAGCTGTTTATCAACCTTCTGTATCTTCCTGTTACCCCTTTCCGTTCTAGGGCTTCTATGATAACTTGTGCGGGTACCATGTTAAAGGCATTTTATAGCTTTGGGCGGGATTCCGTCCGGCCCTGGTGCTTTTCTATACTTTACTCTTCTTGCAGCGACTATGACTTCTTCTGGAGTTATTGGTCTTACGTCTACTGGTTTGGTTGATGTTCTTTTCCAGTTTTGGATTTCATGTGTCGGGAAAAGGTCCGCAATGATACCCTCGAGCTGGTCGTCTTCTACCCTCGTATTTTGGCGCATCCTCGGCCTTCCGGTGGCTATTTGATATGCCTTACCCCAAATGTTATTGTCGAGTTCTCCTATGAGGGTCTTCCATGCGCCGGTCTTCGCTTTTTGGATAGCTTTTTTAGGGCTTTCTTTCTTGACTTGTACCTCTCCCTGAGGTTAATTCCGTCTGGCTACCCGCCGTACATGTGCTCGTACCGCACTGGACATCGGCATCTAACATTAGTTTTTCGTCGTCTTTTTCCCATTTATTTTCTTGCAGCCACTCCATCGCGGATTGCATCCTTAGATGAGCGACGTTTCTTGCCAATTTTTTAATAAAGTTTTTAATATCAACCTTGGTGCTGTTGATTACTTCCCCTTCCAAGAGCTTGGCAGTTTTGGAGACTTCATCGATACTTTCGATTAGCTCTTGCACCACCATGTTCGGTTTGCCCTGGTTGTCTTTATCACTTTTCCTCGACTCCTTGGCCTTGACCGTATAGTAGTCAAAAGCCTTTCTTTTCTTTTCAGCGCCTCCTAGCGAGTCGCATCTGTTTAGGTTGCTGGTAAAGTTTAGCCTACTCCTGGGCGGTGAGACTTTGAGAGGCACTGGGGTCGTGCTCGTACCGCTTTTGTTCCAGTAGCTTGGAGGTGGGGGGCTGAAGACCTCATCCTCTTGCATGTTCTCGTCTTCGGAGCGCTCAGAGCGTCCCTGATTCTCCATCTTCGCGCACTCTACCCCTTCACGCCACGTGTGAGGGTAACCAGCCACAGGAGCGCGTTAAGGGGTGCCGCACCCCCGCGGTGTTTTGGTGTCCCCCGACGCGGCGCAGCCGGGGGAATCGGACGCCACCAAAAACAGGCCTCTCAGACCACCCGTTTGGTCCCTACGGACCTATCAATTCTTATCACCACGGACACTCGTTGTTTACGTTAAGTTGTTTATTTATGCGTAATTGTATGTAAAAAGGGGCGCGTTACAAAACGCACCCACCCCTCGACCCTACTGTCTAAAGACGCAGAAAATCACTCCGAATCGAATGACACTTTCGCAACCGAATCGCGCCACCGATGCCGCCCCGGCGGCCCTATCAGTGCTTATCACTCAAACACTGATTGACTCGCCACTCCGAGACGCCTGCACCGATAAGGATGACCCGGTGCGGGTTCGAATCGTCTCTTAAGGGACTACCTTACAGCACTAAGTCCTACCTTATCAGTAGATCCCTTCCGGTAGATCCGCTCCACGTGCCCTTGCACTAGTTAAATTTCACTTAAAAATCGATAACTTTAATGTTTGTTATCGGGTCGGCACAGACGCCGAATAATCGGCTTTTTTAACGCGCACACTACGCACCCACTTACGAAATTTTTTTAAAACTCTAACTCGCACTTCCGATTTATAACACGGCAGCTCGAAAGAAACACGTCCGAACTCAACGGCGCTCCCAACCTAACCTCAACATAACCTAACCTAACGTAACCTAACCTAACGTAACCTTTTTTTTTTTTATAAATAACATGGGGATGGTGGAATGCCTGCGCACACCCCCGCCTGTATCTATGGCGGAGGTAGTGTGGGACCTGCCCCCACTAAACCACTTCCCCCAGTTTCCAGCATCGCGGGTATCACCGATGGCATTCTTCCGCGTGTTGGACTGGGCTATCATTCCGCTGATCAAGCTTCACGTTCTCTTGTGCTTATGACGTAGGTGATAAACTCGTCAATCTTTTTCCATGTACTGTGCGATTTCACCATAGCTTCGATTATGCTGTCCTCCTCCAGGGGGTCCGCCAGCTCCAGTCTCAGAGACCATCTTCGCCTTTGCCACCTCTCACACTCCAGAACGGCATGCCCGGGTGTATCTCTCCTTCCGCAGTCCACGCAGGTGTCGCTCTGGCGCCGCTTAAATTTATGCAAATACTCCGCATTTTCCCCATGCCTCGTCAGAAACTGTGTGAGGAAGTACCTCCCCGTGCTTCCTGAGATACCACTTCCGAACGTCGGGGATTAAACGGCTGGTCCAAGATTACCTACGGCTCCACTCTTCCTGCCATCGTGCCAATGTGTGTTCCCTTCTGGTCCCCTCCGCTCTTGCCTCAACCTGAATTGTTAGCGGTATAACTCCGGCCACCACGCACAGGTCGATGCTATTCTCAGGGTCAAGACTCTTTGCACCCTCTCCAGGGATTCCCGCACGTTCCCCAATTGTACTGCCGACCCCCAAACTTCGGCTCCATATAATATGGCGTTGTTTATTGCGGTGCTTATAGCCCTCCGCTTACTTGCACTGGAGCCACCGATGTTTCGAAATAAAATTTGCAACTTTTTTGCCATAGCTTGGGCTTTTCCGCTCTTATTTTCACGTGGGTGACAAAAGTCAGGCTACTATCTATTGTGACCCCTAGAATCTGTATGGAGCGTTCGACTTCGACGTCGACTCCTCCGATCCTCACTACTTCCTGGGGGAGTTTGCGCCTGCCTACTATGGCTGCCGCCTTTGATTTTTCCCCAACGAGTTTAAGCTTCTTATCTCTCATCCACCTGTCGATAGCTTCTACGGTATTGTCCATGTGCTGTTTCGCTACCTCCAGATCCCTGTTCGTTGATATCACTGTTATGTCGTCTGCGAAGGCCAGCATCTTTACCCCCCTCGGCACCGGCATGCCGACTATTTCGTCGTACGCCATGTTCCATAACAGTGGTCCTAAAACGGAACCTTGTGGCACGCCTCCGTTGACTTCGAGCTCGTAATAGTTCCCCGACGGTAATCTGACGTTTATTCTCCGCTCCGTTAAATAGCTGAATATCAATTTGCACAGGGTTTTCGGCGCGCTTGTCCTTTCTAAGGCGTCCATGATAACCTCTGTGGGCAGGCTGTTGAAGGCATTTTTCACGTCCAAGGATGCCACCATGACTACTTCCCTCGTTCTCCACGTGCCGGCCTTGGCTCTTCTTGCCGTCTCCACCAGGTCTGTCAGTGCCTCTTTCGTTCCCCTTCCTTTTATGAAACCGTATTGATTTGGAGAGGCCTCCCACATCGACTGCAGGCGCGCCGCGATTATCCTCTCGAAGAGCTTGCCCAGATGACTTAGCAAGGCAATCGGTCTATATTTACCCCTGTCCTTCTTAGGGACCAGAACAACGTCGGCGCTTTTCCATGTTGCCGGGTAGTACCCTTCTCTCATTGCCGCCTCAAAAGCGGGTATAAATAGCGCGGGGGCTTGCTTTGCCACCATCGCGACAAACTCCGGTGGAAGGCCGTCCGGTCCTGGGGCTTTCCTCTTTTTTTAACTGCCTCCTTGAGCTCTTCCTCTTCTATTTTCCTAAAGCTGTCTTGGTCGTCCTCCGTCCGCTGCCGTGTTATTCGTTCCCGTAGGGGGAAGAGTTCGTGTATTTGTTCTTGAACCTCCGAGTCTAGGCCGATAGCTCGCTCCCTCAGGCCCATCTTCCCCACGACGATCTTGTAGGCTTTACCCCATACGTCCTTTTCGAGCTCATCACACAGCTCACGCCAGCACTCCTTCTTCCTATTTCCTATAGCTCTCCTCAGTTGCTTGCGGCTGGCCGCTAGATCTTCCGCTTCGAGGTCGTTTTGATGTAGCCCCCTTCTTCCGGCCCTAGTGTAGCGCCTTCTTTTTTGCACGCATTTAGTCCTGAGCCCCGAATGATGTTCTGGGCATTGAGTGGTCTGCAAGCTTCCTCAGCAGGGCATCCAATTCCGATGGTGTAGTCGGCCTATGTTCCGATCCCATCCTCTCCCGTAGCTTCTCCTCGTTGATCTTTTTAATATTCCAGCCCTTCTTGTTTTGGTCTTTTGGTGGCCTCGGCTTTGCGCTATCTATATTGAAACTGATATATTTATGGTCGCTCAATGTTTCCTCATTTTCGACCTTCCAGTTACGGACATTGAAGTTGGTTGAGCCCCCGCTTGCTAGCGTTATATCGATAATTGAGCGGCTTTCTCCCCTCTCGAAGGTATGCGCATTACCCTCGTTGACTACCATCAAGTCCATTACCGCCGCCATCTCTTCCACCATGTTTCCCCTTTTATTAGTTTTCTCGCATCCCCACACAGTCGATGCTGCATTTAAGTCGCCCGCCACCACAAAAGATTTTCCTCGCCCCCTCAGGTCTTTAATTAATTCGTCCAGGTCATCTCCGAAGGTTTCGATGGTGTCGTTGGGAGGAAAGTAACATCCGCACACTACTACGCCATCAATATCCGCCCACACATAGTTTCTTCCCGAGTTCACTTTGTTTATTGTGGCGCTTTCGCTAGTCCCTATTAGCGCGACCCTTCCCGTCCTGCTTTTGACCATATTGGGGTGCTTGGTTTTTCCGCATTCTGACACGACGAGCAGGTCCACCCCACGTTCTCGCGCGGTGTGGATTAACAGGTCAAAAGCCGCTCTCGAATTATTAATGTTGGCTTGTATGACTTTTATCATAATTATTATGGGTTATGTATAAACTCAAAATTACGCGCTGAACTGAATTTAAATTATGTACTAAGTCTCAGGTGCACCGTTATCGCTATCTTAGATTGTTATATCACAGCTTCTTAATATCACGATCTTATCACCACTGATTGTCTATTATAACCTAGTCTACCCGACGGTTGACCATCTTAATTGGCCTCCTGGCCTTTTCCGCCGCCCTGATGGCTTCTTTATACTGCGGGCACGCCATCGTCCACGGTGCGTGGCCGTCTTCCTCGCATATGACACATCTTTTCGGATTCTCACACTTATCCTTGTAATGGCCCTCTTGGCCGCAGTTTAGACACTTGTTTTTGTTGTCCTGCGCATTGCATCCCCTGCTCTTTTCGTGCATACCCCAGCACTTTCCGCACTTATTTAGTTCCACTTTCTTGTGCACATAACACCGTGTAATACCCACCCACAATCGAGTTACACCGTCCATTAAACTCTCTTTTTCCTTTGGGATTTGCAGGGTTGCTGTCCTCATGCCTTTCTCGCTCACCCTTATGTCCGATACCTCGACGGTGTCTGCTGTATCGGCACCCAGGACTCCCAACACCGCCTCTTTGATTTCTGCCTTGTTGCTAATCTCGTCTATCTCTCGAATATAGTACACTACCCTATCTTTTCCGCCTCGTACCCTGCACTGAGCTCCTCCAATCTCTTTCTTGAGCATATCTTGCCCTTTCTTTTTATCTAGAATCAATTTTAAATGACCTTCTTTGGTCCTATGAGTTGCCATTAGGGCCACTCTTCCTTCCCCAGCGAAGGCATTCCTGGCCCCCTTCAGCAAATCGGCGTAAGTCTTTGTCCCCCCGTTAACTATGATGGCCACCGCGTCGGTCTCCTTGGTACCTTCTTTGGCTTCTCTCTGCTTTGGGCTCTTCCCATCTACGCAGTACGCTATGCTCCTATTATAGCATACGCATTCCGCTATCTTCCTTACTAGTTCTTTCCGCTGAGGTGGCGCAAAAAACTTAACCTTATTGATGTTTCCTCCCATTAGTCTTTTGGTGGACCTCTCCATCACTTCGTAGACCACTTTGGCGCAGTCCTTATCTTCTCCGCCCTCCAGCGCTGCCAGGAACAGGTAACGATCCTTCTCCTCAGATTCCGATGCCTCCCCTTCTTCCAGAACCGCTTCCGTCTTCCTAAATGTCATCATTCCTCCTTTAAAGGTTTGAACCCCCTGGACGCGTTTTGCAAACTCTGGGTGTCTTCGCCCCATTTCCTCCCTTACTTTGTCATCTTTGTCGTTGCCATATAGGACTATCTCGCTCTCCAGCCAGTTCTTTTCGTTGGGGAACTCGCCTCTGGCGGTGTGTTCTGGCCACTTGTCCTTCACTGTCTCCCAAACTCCTTCAAAATCGGTGCACTTCTCTATTGCATTTCGGATTTGGTCCCTGGCCTGATCCTCTTTCGATATGACCACCTTACATCTTCGGCATACGATTGTGGACTCTCGCAGCTCCTTCTTTCTCAGCTCCATGGCGTCCGGTAGCCCTCTGATAAATTTCGCCACCTCTTCTGTCCCGAGTTGACTGGCCGCGCTCTTTAGCTCTAGTTCTAGTAGCTGTGTTCTTCGTGATCATCCCGTCGAGTTTCACTACTTTATTACGGATCCTAGTAATTAGTTGGATAACTACGTCGTGCATCGCTTTCAGGTTTATTCGTTTGGGGTCAGGCATTACTATATCAGCCCCTATCATTTTCGTTTTTGGTGTGTTTGTCCCCGCCGGGACCGAGCATCCCGCTTCTTCGTCCCATCTCATCTCCATTTGGGAGATCCTTGGTGATTTCGGATCTGTTCCTCCTCCTTTTGTGAGATCTTCTAATAAAGTATTCATTCCGCGAAAAATTAGGGGTGTATCCCCTCGCGCTTAGGGGTGCGACTACCCCCCGTGTGGGGTGTCAAAACACTCGTCCGCTCAAGCCCTGTCCAACGCGACCCCTCCCGACTCGACCGCACTCTCCTACGAGCCCCTAGCGCCTCCCAAAGTTTAATCTGGGGTGAACTGATTAGCTTATCGCGGGAGAACCTAACGTAACCTAACCTAACGTAACCTAATCTAACGTAACCTAATCTAACGTAACCTATTATTATTTATTATTAGGCGTTACCACCATGTATTACGGTGGTAACAAACTAGGTCGATTTTGTTGTAATAATAAGTTTTGTCTGAAGACAGTTTATTTTGTGCATACGGAATAAATTTTTTGGATAATGTGTGATACTAGTATAAAGGCTCTATCTCTTAAAATTTAGATTTAGTAGAAGCAGCTTTCATTAAAATTTAAAAAAGAATGGTTCACAAATAAGGTTATGATTGCGCATGTACAAATCTATATTTTGACATGCGATTTAAATTTGCTCTTATAAGAGTGTCTTCCGCTAAAATTCTAGGAGAATTCGGTCACAAATAAACAATGTAAGTCTGTGGATGCGTATACTAATTTCATTGCGTTTGATCTAATTTTTAGGGAAGCACTTTCTCTTAAAAAATCAGAAAAAAACGCTCATAAATAAGAAAATATTGGGTCTGCACACATAATAAATAATTACCTTGTTACATTCATTTTGGGCAAAGGTGACAACATTACCTTGAGATAGGTACACGGCCAACTTGGCACTCAGGCCAAGTTGAAATGGTTCTCAGATACTATTATAGCAAAAATAAGTAAAAAGGAAATGTAGTAATTATATTTAGTCTTCAGTCACTTTCAAAAGAGAGAAGAGAATACTTACCAAAATGGGAAAACAAGGCAGACTAAAAGACCCTTGTTCTGGTCTTAATAATCTAAAAAAATAAAATACTTGATAGGGATAGAACATAAACAATAATAATTGACGTCACAATCGAGGGTACAGTACCTGATTCTGGTAACTTAATGAATGATCTCAAAAATATCACAAATAGGACACTGTAATATATTGATCTGCGATGACAATATTTGAATTCAAATTAATTTTTACTTTTTTAGTAAATAGGGGGGTCAACACGTAGTCAGATAAAGTATTAAAATCGCAGAAAATAAAGGAGATATAATCGTTAAATGAATATTAACAAATAATTACAATTCGATCGTATCGAAAACCTGGACATACTGGTCAAACGCTAAATCAAGGAGTCGGCGAAAAATAAAAAAGTTACCTTTGAATTCTGGTCGAATGGCCGTCTGAATTCAGAAGGGCGCGTTCTACCTAATCTATGACAGATAACAACACAAACAAACCAATGAGAGAGGTAGTGAATAGCGCGGCACATAAAATAATGCGTAAGCAATTCTAACGTCTGACACGGAAGCACTTCTGATACTAAAACCGTAATTAATACTCGAGCAGAATTAATAATTCGAATGTCTGTACACTAGCAGGAGCAAAATTCTTCAAAAACTAATTTACAAAGCAACGATAGTAATATCGCTATAACACAGCTAATCTGAAGGATACAATGTAATCAAACTAACAGGAATGAATTCTCAGTCACAAAAGTAATCGTTAACAACATCTGATATCGCTAAGTATATTCTTCGGGGCAAGTAGCGCAAGTAAAATCACATGTATCGGGGTAATTTACAAGATCGTTAACTTCCAAAGTTTCATTATACTTGCAGTTCCAATTCAGGAACAAATATTGAAGTGTAGGTAAACAAAGTCCATGTAAGTAGGTCATAGGTAATGGAGGTATAGATGCTGTCGGTAAGGTAGAAACTCATCTATAGCATACGTTTGACACTGTAAATCTTGCTAAAATTGCGGGTCGGGTTAAACTGCGATCTCATCCACGCACTGCGTAGGTAATGCGTAAATGCGTAATATCCAGGTAGATCAACCGTGAAAGTTAATGCCAAAGAAATAGCGATAATGACTTAAAAGAAAACTTTTGAGGGTTGTGTTTGAGTGAACGTAAAAGCCCTAAAAACGCGTCTTATGAAAAATGCCGCGTAATCATCTAACGTACCTCGTATTGTTTATATGCAAATACAGATCCGTCAAAGCGATTCAATGGAGCGCCAGCCACAGACCTCAAAAGAAAGAGAAATCACTCCAAAGACAAATGGTAGAGGCAAATCAATAAATGCCTTTAAAGGTAAGACAAAGGTCAATAAAAGTATAATGGTGTACCAAAAGAAATTTGCATGTGAATAATGCGTTGGCAGAAACTTCATTGAGGGAAAACTGCACGCAATACAAAACTTAAGAAGAGATAGCAATGATCTCCGTCGGCGAAACATAGGACTATTGTAATAAGAAATCTATAACACTTGGAATAAATTTACTACAGGAACAACTTACATCTCTATACTAGTGGATTACAAACGAAATACCTAAATGGCGTAAGAATTTAAATAAGAGCACAAGTCAAAGGTTATTAAAGCGGAATGTAAATCAGGAATTTCAATCGGCAAGAAAATAACGACGTTACAAGTTACAACACATAGGGTGAACCGTGATATCCAACAGAGCAGATTAAGAGAAGCAAAAAATAACCACTATCTCAATTAACTTTCGCTTTTGAATGAAATGGTTGATTTGCAGGTTCTAGTAAAAATGGCTGAATTGTGCTTCAAGATGTACTTCATTCCAACTAAAAAATCGTGTAGGTTTGTTTTAAATGACTGCGTTTGCATTTATTTACCCCGTCTAAGAAACGGTTATTGAATAGTAATCCAAAAGTTATTTGTGGCATTTAATTAGATTAACCTAAAAATAAGAGTAGCACATTACATGGTAAACCCGTGACGTACTTTTGTTTCAAACTGAATACAGGTGTTGACTTGGAAGATTGCGTCTAACTCTATCTACAACTGACTGGCCAACGGTTTGTCCACTGAGCAAGCCTATGCTTGCTTCTAAAGAACTTTAGCAAATAAACTATTTAGGTGTGTACAGGTACACTGTTTTACCATCTTTTAAGAGCAAAAGGTCTTCCGCATTATATTTGGGTTTATAACCTTTATACCTT